GCGCGACGCGAGTCGCTACGACCGATAGCGTCGCGTTTCGACCGACCCCCGGCGTGCTCCTTCCACCGACGCACCGTCTTTCGCAATCGGTCTCGCTTCGACGCGAGTCGAGCTAACCTAATTGCGCTGCAGTTTTGCCAGCAAAGTTTGCTCGTCCAACGGGATCGCCGGTCGGATAAGGGGCACCGAGGGGACGGGAGTTGCGCGATCGCCAGAACACGCGTTTGTCCTCTTTCCTCCGTTTCTCCGCGGCGTCCATCCGTTGGATCGACGCACGCGCGAACCTCGGATAACGCGTTTCGAGAAAATCATCGAAACGCGGTTATTCGAGACACGGAATGTCGAGCGAAGCGAACGTTTCGTTTTCCGGAGAAAAAGTGAACGCGATACCGCGACGAAGAACGCGCGAGGCAAAAGTTCTAAAAACCCAGATAAAGCGAACAACGTCCGAACAAGACAATAACGATCGGAATGATTCACGGTAGCCGATAAAACCGGATACACCGTAACTGCGCCTCGTACTTTGCCCTTGCTGCCGACGCGGCAGCGGCTAAGCGACGAACGTCATCGCCGCGCGACTCTATCGTTTGGTCGTTCCTCTTTTCGATTTCGTTCTTTTTTTTTTCTTTTCCTCGCGTGTCGGTTTACCGGGCAGAGCGGGAGGAAAACGCAAAATCGATCGTTGCGCAACGGTTGCACGATAGCACCGATCGATAAAAGGAAAAACGAACGCGGCGCAGCTGCTTCGTCGATCTTCCCTTATCGCGTATCTCGTTACGCTCCTCGCCGCTCGTTCCGGGCTCGTTCGAAATACGCGCGAGGTCGCGAGCAATCGCGAGGATAACGAGATATCGCTCGTTCGTTTTCTCTCGGTTCGCCGAAATCGAGCGAACTCGAAACCGCTCGCGAATTCCTCGGCACCGATACCGCATACCGGAAGCGTTATTCGACGGAATCGATTCGAACGATTACTAGGAATCGATCGCGGCAACTCGGACCGAGGTCTCGAGGCGCGTTAAGGTTTTCTCGGCCGGTCTCGTGAATCATTGCTCGCGTGAGTCATCGCGCGAGTCAGCGAAGGTGCAAAGTTTCGCCGTTCGAAGGCACGGCACGGCACGGCCAGAAACGAACGCGCGCTTTTTCCGAGCGGAAGCCCGACGCTCTTCTCGCGTTCGCTTCCGACGTCTCGGTTCGATCGCCGGCTGCCGGTCGATCGGCCGGCTACCGTCTGCCGTTTACCGTCTGCCGTCCGCGTTCTCCGCTCGCCGTCTGCTCGTCCCAGAATCTTGCTCCTCTTCCGTGCGCGCGCGCGTGCCCCGGGGCAACCGCGACGATCTCGAAGAAAACGGTAAGGAAACTCTCGAGGGATCGACGGCGCGCTTCCGCGCTCGAAACGGAAATCGGTGCGGGATGAAACCGATCGGCGGGACGAGAGGAGCTTGTATCGAAGAGAAGGTCGAAAGAGGCGGCGGAGGAGAAAGGGAGCGGGAGATAGAGGCGCCGAGGGTGGCGGTGGTGGTGGTAAAGGAGACGGCGCGGCGACGCGAAGAGGGAGACAACGCGAAAAAACCTTGAGGCTAGCCGGGTGGCATGGCCTCGACTTCTCTCCTCGGGGACCTTCGACGCGTTTCCGTTCGAAAGCGAAACGCTCGGTTTCGCGGAGGATGCGTTCGCGAATTGAGAAACGCGCGCTCCTCGATACCGAAGCGGACACGGAAGAGGTTCGGTGGCGATCGAAAACTCTCGCGTCGAAACCGATCGATGCAGCGAGAGCGCGCGCGCTCGCTCGAAGGCGAGAGGGAAAGCGCGGACGAGAAGGAGAGCGAAAACTGGAACGGGAACGGACGGCTCGCGAACGCGCGTCATCGATAAATTATTCTCCGTCGACGGCGAGTAGCCGGTCAATATAAATCCACGTTATCCGAGTGTTTACGTTGCTTTCTCGTTGCGCGATTACGGATCGC